AAAAAAAAAAAAAAAAAAGAGAGGGATTGGGAGTAGTTGGAAACTGCAGGGGGCAAGGGAGGGCACACCTCATCAACAAGGGTACCTGCTTAATGAACATTTGTATACCTAACCCTGAATTGTGCACCACATCTTTAAAATTAAAAATTAAAAAAAAAATTTAGGCTGAGACTTCCTTTATAATATTTAAATTATAGTCTGTTAAACCAGTATTTAGTCAAACCTCTTACACACATTAAAGGGTTTAGACTTTAAAGCTTCCAGAAGGTGACTGTGACATTTAGGGAGTTTAAAAGTCTCTGACGCATACAGAAAAATGGTAAGTGCTTCCAAACCTGATAGCCTCTTTATTCTTATTTTTAATTTATTTTTATTTTATTTTATTTTTTTAGTCAGAATCTCACTCTGTCACCCAGGCTGGAGTTCAGGTTGCTTGGAAGGCTGAGGCAGAAGGATCGCCGGAGCCTAGCGGGTTGATGCTGGAGTGGCCATGAGTGTGCTACTGCACTGCAGCCTGGGTGACAGGGTGAGACTCCAACTCAAAAAAAATAAAAATAGAACAAAAGGCCGAGAGAGGTAGGTCAAGCCTGTAATCCCAACACTTTCAGAGGCCGAGGCAAAGAGGATGGCTTGAGTTCAGGGGTTCCAGATCAGCCTGGGTAACTTGGCGAGACCTCATCCCTACAATAAAATCAAGAAAATTGGCCAGGCACGGTGGCTCATCCCTATAATCCCAGCACTTTGGAAGACTGAGGTGAGAGGATTGCCTGAGCCCAGGGGTTTGAGACCAGTCCGGGCAGCTTGGCAAGACCTCGTCTCTATAGTAAATTAAAAAATTAGCTGGACATGGTGGCTCACGCCTGTGGTTACAGCTACTTGGAAGGCTGAGGCGCAAGGATTGCCTGAGCCCAGCAGGTCTGTGGTGGGATGGCCGTGAGCGTGCCACTGTACTCCAACCTAGGTGACAGAGTGAGACTCCAATTCAAAAAAAAAAAAAAAAAAAAAAAGGAATGTATATGTAAAGCCATGTGGACTTAAATTGGAAGGTTATTTCTGTCATTCTATGACTCAGTTGGCTGTGTGAACTCAGGCAAATCAGTTTACTTCCCCAGTTCCCAGCGTCTTCATATGTGCAATGGGGCTAAATATTCCTGCCTCTGGAGAAGTGGTTTTGAATGCTCAATGAGATACTTCCTTGAAAGAGTTTAGCACAATGCCTGACTCCTGGCACGTTGTAGCTATGGCAATTCTTTTCATTTGTAGGCAACCAAATACCCTTTCTCCCTTCTAATGAGTAAATGTATATTTAAGAAAATGAGGCCAGCCTCGATGGCTCAGCCTGTAATCCCGCAATTTGGGAGGCCGAGGTGAGTGGATTGCCTGAGCCTGTGGGTCCGAGACCCGCCTGGGCAACTTGGTGACCCCTCATCTCTACAATAAAATCAAAAAGTTAGCCGGGCTTGGTGGCTCAGCCTGTAATCCCACGCCTTTGGGAGGCTGAGGTGAGTGGATTGCCTGAGCCCGCGGGTTCGAGACCCGCCTGGGCAGGCGAGACCTCATCTCTACAATAAAAGCAAAAAATTAGCTGGGCGTGGTAGTGCGTGCCTGTAATTCCGGCTACTCGGAAGGCTGAGGTGGAAGGATCGCCAGAGCCCAGCAGGTCGAGGCTGCGGTGGCCGGGAGCGGCCACTGCACTCCAGTCTGGGCGACAGAGTGAGACTCCAACTCAAAAAAAAAAAAAGAACGAAAGAAAAGTAAATGATTTTGGGCCAGGCACAGTGGCTCACGCCTATAATCCCAGCAATTTGGGAGGCTGAGGTGAGAGGACTGCTTGAGCCAATGGGTTTGAGACCAGCCTGAGCAATTTGGCGAGACCTCATCTCTACAATAAATCAAGAAAAATTATCTGGGCGTGGTGGCACATGCTTGTAATTCCAGCTACTTGAAAGGCTGCGGTGGAAGGATTGCCTGAGCCCAGCAGGTTGAGGCTGCAGTGGCCGGGAGCTTACCATTGCCTTCCATCCTGGGTGACAGGGTGAGATTCCAACTCACCAGTCTGGACAACTTGGTGAGATATTGTGTCTACAATTAATCAACAAATTAGCCGGGTGTGGTGGCTCGCACCTTTAGTTCCAGCTACTTGGAAGGCTGAAACCGAAGGATCGCCTGAGCCCAGCAGGTTGAGGCTACTATGGCTATGAGTGTGCCACTGCACTCCTGTCTGGGCAACAAAGTAAGACTCTAACTCAAAAAAAAGAAGAAAAAAAAGAAAAATGATTTTTTTGTTGTGTTTCAAAGTATAATTAAAATATAGTGCCTGAGTATTATGAATATTGTTGGATTTTTGTAGAACCCATTAGGGCCCTATGGACAAAACAAGCCACATATTTAATATAGGTCTTCCTGGCAGAAACCTCCATTTCATAAAACAGCAGGGTTCATTATTTAGGTGAAAAAGTGTGGTCATCCTAAAGTTAATTTTTTTCTTTTTAAAAAAAGTTTTCTTTATTTATTTACTTTAAAGATGTGGAGTACTATTCAGGATTAGGTATACAAGTGGTCGTCATACAGGTAAAGTTTGGCTCTCCCTTTTGCCTGGTTTGAGAGCAGGTACCTTTATTGATGCTATGTTCTCTTATCCCTCTGACCCCTAAAGTTGATTTTCAAGTATTCAATTCTGTTGGTCTCCCAATTAATAATCGTGAAGCATATAGAGTAGAATTTAGTTTCAAATAGGATTATAGGCAAATTTATGATTTTTAAAAACTTAGATAAAAGAAAACATTTTTAACTATTCTATTGGCTATTTCTCCTCTTTTTGTAGCAGAAACACAGACACTGAGGATCCTGCATGATAAAAATCAAACAGTAAGTAACTTTTTTTGTAAGCTAACATTGGGCTCAACTCAGGAGGAAAAAAGTTAGGCTTTAGACTTCCATCATGCCCACACTTTCCCTGGGGAAAAAACCTTAACCTGTAGCTTCAGATTCCTTAACTATAGCATGTTGATGATGACAGTTCTGACCGCATAGACCTCTTGTAAGGAATGAATGAGATTATGAGTGTAAAATGATTGGCACACAGTAAGAGCTTGAAAGCCAACCTGTTGCCCAGGTTGGTCTCTCGAGCTCCTGACCTCAAGTGATCCTCCTGTCTCGGCCTCCCAAAGTACTGGGTTACAGGTATAAACCACTATGCCTGGCCTACTTATTGTTTTTGTTTATTTTAATTTATTTCAAGTCAGAATCTCACCCTGTCATCCAGGCTGGAGTGCAGTGGCACACTCACAGCCACCACAGCCCCGTCCTGCTGCGCTCTGGTGATCCTTTCGCCTCAGCCTTCCAAGTAGCTGGAACTACAGGCCTGTGCCACCACACCCAGCTAATTTTTTAATTTATTGTAGAGATGAAGTCTTGCCAAGTTGCCCAGGCTGGTCTCGAACCCATGGGTCAAGCAATCATCTCACCTTGGCCTCCCAAAATGCTGGGATTATAGGCGTGAGTCAATGCATCAGTGACTACTTATTGTTTTTAAAGGGAGAACATGGACTAAATTTTAGAAACATAAGGATTTTGTGTGTGACTCTCAGTTATCTTAAAATCAAATTAATTAGAGCAATGGCAATAATAGCTATCACTGATTGAATACCTATCATATACCAGGCCCTGTGCTTAGCATTTTATAATTTCTGTCACTTAATTTTCCCAGTCACGCTACAAAGTCACCCAGCTCTTAATAGTGACAGAGCTGGGATTTGAACCCAAGACTGTCTGGCTGCAAAGTTCTGGTTTTTTAAAATTTGTTTTATTAAACAGGCTACTCCATAGTCAGAGAAGCCTGGGCTGGCCTATAGGAAGAACAGTTTTGGCTCTTGAATCACTGTCTTTTTGGAAAAAAGAGAGGCTTCACTGCAAGATACCAACTTTCTGGGGGAACACGGGGGTTCTTGACCCAGCAGGACTCCACTCCTGAAGTCCATTTTTGTTTGGGGTGAGGGTCCATTTACCAAAAGCTCCTTTTCCACCCACGGCATAGAAGGGTATGTTTCATTTCCTTGCTAACCCCAAGGATTAAACTAATTTCTTTCTTGAGGTGGTTTGAGTCTTGTCTAGAAGGGGATAGATCAAGGGTGGTTTCAAGGACTCTGCAATCTTGTGATGTTGTAAAAGGGATGGTCTCATCCACAGATTGCTAGATGGAATGCACAACCGATTTCTGGCCATTTGCTACTTAACTCTGTTTGTGTTTCCATAGCAAACATCCATATGGGCTAATGAGCCACAAGACCCTGGAGCAACCACCAGAACAGGAATCTACATCGCAGTAGGGATCTCTGCTGGGCTGGCTCTGGCGCTTATCTTGGTTGTTTTAATTTTCAAATGTAAGTCTTTTGAGTTGCTTCTCTCTCCCTCTGATAAGGAACTCTTATTATAGAAACCAACACAAGCCTACAAAGCAATATCAGTTTGTAAAGGTGATTTGATAAAGTATTCTTTTGTCCTTTCTTTTTTTTTTTTTTTGAGTTGGAGTCTCACTCTGTCGCCCAGGCTGGAGGGCAGTGGCATGCTCCTGGCCACCGCAGCCTCGACCGGCTGGGCTCTGGTGATCCTTCCGCCTCAGCCTTCCGAGTGGCTGGAACTACAGGGGTGCGCTACCATGCCCGGCTAATTTTTGATTTATTGTAGAGATGAGGTCTCACCAAGTTGCCCA